ATGCCCATTGGCCTGGAGCAGCCTTAGTTGCCGGCCGCAGATATTTCACGTAACCACCCTATCTTTTTTAACTAACATTTGTACCCTCGTCTGAGCATAAGTTTTATAATCTTGTTTATACTCGAGAACAAACGATCGTTTAGCTAAACGTAGATTTATTAGTAAGTGTGCAAAGAAGTCCGCTTTCATGTACGTTTTGAGTGAAAAGTTATTGCGGCTGCTTTTGGAGACTAATAAGAGTAACGTAGGAAAAGTCGTAGACATCGTGGCCAATAGTTGTTGGGTGTGCCTACTCTTAATCTGTTCCGCTTGGCAGCGCAAATTAGCAGATATAAAGCTGGCATACAGGCGACAAATTAAGCTGGACTTTTTCCTACCATGTGCCAAGAGTATGCTGGCTTTAAGATATCTTTCTGCACACAATCTACTTAAGGCTATGAGGGAGGCGGACGTACGCCTTTCGCTCATTCGCGCAATATTGCGCATTGGGTCAGAGACTGTTTCACACTTACTGTAAAAGATGTCCCAACAAACGACGTGAATGCAATGCAACTCCCCTCCTTATTGCAGGAGCCTGTTATAACTTGATATAGCCTCATTTCACCGAAGAAAAAGGCCAAGAGCCCGACTACTTTTGAGACCCGTCTTGACCTTCCCGCGTAAATTTCAGCATAGTAAAGTTAAGGGGAATTTATGAGCATTTTTGAATTTCATTCATTTTGTGTACCTCTCGGATTTCTACTATGTGGTTTTTCTTTATTATCGTCTGTCTTTTATATTTAGCATCTTTGCCACCGACCATTTAGAAAGCGACCTTTGAGAACTTCGCAAATGTCTAAGCGTCATACAGCGTTTCTCTAGCTCGCTCCTAGCTCCGGTCGGAATGCTACCTAATTGTGTGCAAGCATTTCCATCGGGGCATGGATTAGTTTGTTTCGGTGGGCCTAATCCGATTTCAGCATTCAGTTTTGGAGTCTCTGCAGCGTTCTGCTGACATCACACATTGGGGCACGTTACAATGCGATAAAATGTAGTAGAGTAGTCAGGTGTTTTACCGATGGCGTCATGGTTAGTTGACTTCAACGATGGGGAGCTCAAATACAGGGATGCTTACTGTGGGTCTGTTATGACCCGCCTGGTACTTGAAATCCCGTGGAGCGTATACGCACTCGACCCTGGTCCCCAATATCAAGGCAGCAGACAAAGAACACACGGCTGGCCACGGAACGTGTATTAGCAAACACGTATTAGCAAGTCACGTCTAGCTAAGGGTGACGCATATTTATCACACGCTAGCGTGGTTCGCCGGCACTCGGTCCAATGACCTTCGAGAAGAGGGGAGTAGCCAATGGGAAGCGTCTGATTGAGATGACAGCGCGGTAGGGAGAGAGCAAACGCACGTGATCTCCGATGACTGGTTTGCTCTTGTTTTTGGGAGTGTAGGCACTCCCAACACCTCCCCTCCAAGTGGGTCAGTACCGCTTTTGGCGTGGATTGATCTGCATCGGCAGTGTTGATCGGCGCACGCGGTTGGTCCGGCGTCTTAGTTGTGGTTTGTTGTCTGGAGACCCGGGGGCAGTGACTGATACCGAAGGCGGTATATCCGAAGGAGGCGCAGCAGTGGGTTCGGGAACCGACCGATCTGCCGGAATGGCGAAGGTATCCAGTAGGATGTCAAGGGGGAGTGACGGCGCCGGATCGAGCCCAGTTGTGTTACTGCAATGTCGCCGTCGGATCTGGTTGTGGTGACGAACCCAGATTTCACCACCAACGTCGACGTCAAACAACATACTGCCTCTGTGCGCTACCACGGTTGCTTCAATCCAGTCTGGGAACTCCGCTCGATAATCACGGGCGAAGACAGGCGTTCCGATGGAGAGCTTGCTGCGAGAGACTGGAGAAGTCTGCGCCGGCTGCGCACCGGTAGGGACGAGGGCATGAAAAGTTGTACGCAGTTTCCGGCCCATCAACGCTTCGGCAGGAGAAACTTCACCAGGGGACGCCGGGTTCGGTGTTGTCCTGTAGGAAAACAGGAATGCCTGGACTATCTCGTTCGTGGTCCCCTCCCCACGAGCTTTCAAGAGGGCTCTCTTAAACGTGTCGACAAAACGTTCCGCCTGACCGTTAGACTGAGGATGGTAGGGCGGGGAGCGAATATGCTGGATGTTGTGCTGGCGGCAGAAATCCTCAAACGACGACGAAGTAAACTGAGAGCCATTATCTGAAACCAGGACTTCTGGTGAGCCATGCTGGCTAAAGCTGCGTCGTAGGAAGGCGATAGTGGAAGACGCGGTCGTTGGATTCAGCGGAGCAATCTCGGGCCACTTCGAGTAGGCGTCATCCAAGATTAGGTAGGAGACTCCGTTAAGTGGGCCAGCGAAGTCGATGTGCACGCGTGACCAAGGCCTCTCTGGTGGTTCCCAGGGTACTGGCGGTTGACGAGGCGGCATCTTGGCAGCTTGCTGACATCGAGAACAGCGTCGAACCAGGTCGTCGATGTCGCGGTCGATACCCGGCCAGTAGGCAAAACTGCGTGCAATAGACTTCATTCGGCTGGTACCAGGATGAGCCGCATGGAACTGGCGTAGTACAGTAGGTCGGAGGGAAGATGGGATCACCACACGGTCTGCAAACATGAGGCAGGAGTCAACCACAGATAGCGATGCTCGGCGGAGGAAGAGCTGGCGAAGATCGCCAGCGAGAGCAGTGGTTGGCCAGCAGGTCTGCACGTAGGTGATGGCCTGGCGGAGGACAGGATCCTGTTCAGTAGCACGTCGGATGTCCGCGGCAGTGACGGGGATACCTCGTATGGCGTCTGATAGCTGACGGCGCACATCGTCCTCAATCGAATTAGTTGCAATCACGGTATCTTCCTCCGGTTCCTGCTGATTGCTGATGAGGCGAGAAAGGGCGTCAGCCTGACCAAAGTCTGTAGTACGACAGTAGCGAATGTCGAAATCGTAGCCAAGAAGGATGGTTGCCCATCGCTGAAGTCGGCTGGCTGTGTAGACGGGAATGCCCTTCTTCGAACCGAAGATTGACAGCAACGGTTTGTGATCCGTCAACAACGTGAAGTGGCGACCGGACAATAGTTTGTGAAATTTCTTGACAGCAAACACGAGGGCTAGAGCCTCTTTCTCTATTTGCCCATAGTTCTTCTCCGCAGGGGTTAGCGTGCGAGATGCATGCATGATCGCCTTTTCAGACCCATCAGGAAAAATATGTGAGATGACGGCACCAACTCCGTGGTTGGAAGCATCTGCAGCAACTACGATCGGCAGCGTCGGATCGTAGTGCGTGAGCAGCAGATCTGAACTCAGCATCGACTTTAGCTGGGCGAAGGCCTTTTCACAGTCGGGGGACCAGCACCAGGAAGCATCCTTCTGCAACAGACGGTTGAGCGGGGCCCTTACGTCATGCAGCGATGGTAGGAAGGCGCTATAGTAGCTGATCAGGCCAAGGAACGAACGAAGTTGCGATACATTCTTGGGGGCAGGCATCTGCTGGATGGCCCGAATGTTTTCAGGATCTGGATGGCGACCATTGACGTCAAAAACGAATCCAAGGTACTTGATGGAGTCGAGGAAGAATTGGCACTTGTCGGCCCGTAGGCGAAAGCCATATTCCTGCACGCGTTCGAGTACTGCGCACACTCGGTCTTGCAGCTCGGCAGGGGAGCGACCCACGATGATGATGTCGTCCAGGTACCCAGCTGTGCCAGGGATGCCGGAGAGCATTGCGCTCATCGTTTGTTGAAATAGGGCCGGGGCGGTCTGGACACCAAAGGGCAGCCTGGTGTATTGGAACAGACCGCGGTGGGTGTTGATGGTCAACAACTCGCGCGACTCTGGGGCGACCTCGATCTGCAGATACGCATCAGCGAGATCCAACTTGGCAAAGCAAGTGCCACCATTTAGCAGGGTGAAAAGATCAGCCGGAACCGGTAATGGATAGCAGTTCGGCGTCAGTGCGGCATTGAGACCGGTGGAGAAGTCAGCACAAATGCGGACCGAGCCATTGGGCTTCTTAACCACAACGATTGGAGCGGCCCAGGCGGAGTAGGATACAGGAACCAGAACTCCCAGTTCCTCTAGACGTTTCAGTTCAGCCTCGACAAGTGGTAGGGCTGCATATGGGACTGGTCGCTTTGGACGGAAGACTGGTTGACTTCCAGGAGACAGATGTAGCACGGCTTGAGTGTATGTGCAACGACCCAGGCCGTCTTGGAACACTGGAGCAAACCGTTGGAGAATGTCCTTGGCTTGGTCTGCAAGCACAGCGGGAATCTGCACCTGACTGCAAACAATGCGGAGCGGCATATCGGCCAACCCAAGTTGTTCAATCCAGTCGAGACCAAGTAGGTTTAGATCAGACTTGGTGATGTAGCAGATCGCAGTGATGCTGGTACCGCGGAACGACACACAGCATTGCATCTGCCCAATTAGCTGTACGAGACCACCGCACGCGCTTGTGGCGGACTGGGAAGTCGGCTGCATCGTGGGACTGCCAAGGGACTGCCAGAGTCTCTCAGAGATGATGGTGATATCTGAGGCAGTGTCCAGCTGTAGGCAAACTGCATGGCCATTGAGCAAGACATCAACAAATTTTCTACGACCAGACGCATTGAGCTGGAAAGCGGCCAAGAGACTCAGAGAATTACCAACGGACTGAAGTTTGGACTTGCGTTTTGGCCGGAAACGACGCCTGGAATTAGAAGTGGCGGGGGCTGGCTTGCCTACAGAAGCTGGTACTGATTTGCAGAACCCATCACGGTGTCCCACCTGATTACAGCTTTGGCAGCGATGCTGGCGGAAAGTGCAATCCCGGTGGAAATGCCATGCGCCACAGTGCCGACAAGGAGATGGCGGAGATCTCGACTTGGACACTTGCTTGGGCCGTGTAACAGGATGCGATTTGGTCGATGTGACCGTATGGACTAAGAAAGCTGAGGCCGGGTTCTGAATCATTGCAGAGTCGTGCTTGAGATTGATCAGCGTTTGTCACTCTGCTGCCAGCTCTTGGAGTGTGGTGGAGTTGTTCTGCTGCACTTTGGACAGGAGACGTGTCCGGATATCAGCATCCTTGGGGGACTGGAGGCCGCAGATAAATATAAGGCATTTAAACTGGTCTTCAGTGAGAGAACCGAGTTGGAAACGCCCACACTCACGATTAACAATGCCCGCGTACGTGATAAAATCATCGGAATCTCGTTTGCACAGTTGCAAGCACTGAAATCGAGTGTTGAAGAGGGATGTTTGCTCACCAAAAATCTGCGACAACGTCTGAACCGTGTCCTTGAAAGCGACTTCCCGGGGATTCTTGGGAAGGATGAAGTTTGCATAACGCTCGTGTTCAGCCGGACCCAGTTTGCGAAGTAGAAGTCGGACCTTCCATGCATCGTCCTGGGCAGCCAGATCGACAGAGAACAAGTCCTCGTATCGCTTGTACCAGGAATCAAAGGTGATATGGGCCTGCGGGTCATAAAAGAATTCGGTGATGCTGCCGGCAATGTGATCAACAGATTGTGAACCACCAGCCGCGCTTGATTGGTCCATAGATGAATTGGATAGCTTGACGGTCAGAGCCTCCATCAGCTTCAGCTGCTGCTGCAACATCTGCTTCAAGTCTGCGTACTCGTCAGCCATTGTAGTTGAGAAACTGCGTCGCCAATTTGTTATGACCCGCCTGTTACTTGAAATTCCGTGGAGCGTATACGCACTCGACCCTGGTCCCCAATATCAAGGCAGCAGACAAAGAACACACGGCTGGCCACGGAACGTGTATTAGCAAACACGTATTAGCAAGTCACGTCTAGCTAAGGGTGACGCATATTTATCACACGCTAGCGTGGTTCGCCGGCACTCGGTCCAATGACCTTCGAGAAGAGGGGAGTAGCCAATGGGAAGCGCCTGATTGAGATGACAGCGCGGTAGAGAGAGAGCAAACGCACGTGATCTCCATTGACTGGTTTGCTCTTGTTTTTGGGAGTGTAGGCACTCTCAACAGGGTCTTTGTTGTTTGGTGCCTCTTTTGCAACGGTCGGCAACGAGGATGAAATTCAAAAGAGTATAATTTGAACAAGAAAACCTGTGGTCCATTCAAATTAAAGTAGCCGGTGCCTATTTCTTTTGAGCTCTCAAATGACTATCGAGGGTGTACAGGATAGGACAAAGTGTAGGAACGTCCAGTTAGGCAGAATACCTTGCAGGGGTAGTAGTTCGCACCGTGTACCTCGTGAAGGGGGTGACGGCATCGCAGGGCCTTTAACAAGCTTCTTGAGGCTTGGCTCTTCCTAGAGGTCAAACCTTAATAATTGCTTTTGCAGGTGGGCCAGACTAAATGAGAGTATACAGGGTTGCGTGTCTTTTCACATCCGACAGCTCAGTTCCATTCCTTATTCCTCACACCTTTCACATTCACCATTCACATACAAATAAACTTGCTTTATCACCTCATGCAGATAGAACCTCTGCCAAAGCCGCGCAGATATGTGAATTCATATCGCATAATTTTTTACTTCCGGAAATGAAGCTAAGACTCTATCAAATGGTTGTTCTTCCAGTCCTCGAATACTGCTGTCCTTTCTTCGGTTTAATGAACGTCTGTGACAGCTATAAGATCAAAAATGTTCAGAGGTTTTTCACCTAGAAACTGCTCTCTCAAGCTTCGTCCGGTATTTCTTATACTCAGGGATGTAAGCTGGCGAGCATTAAGTTTTTATGGGTTAGAAGACTCGAAGCTGGCCTTTGTTTCCTTTTTCGCATCAACTCTAACCCCAATCTTCCGCTCATTGACACTCTCACTCCGAGAGATCGGTCTTAGGCCGCGCGCAACTCCTGCATGCTGATTCCGCGGCCTCTTTGCACTACACCTATGCGCTCCCTCTTTTTTGCTTCCAAATGTGCCTTCCTTTGGAATAATCTTCCGCCAGAAATTAGGTCATCGTCTAAGTTGTCGGTATTCAAATAGAAATTACGCAAACACCTTACATCGGAAATTTCAAAGTCACTATTGGCCGTTTCATTCATGAACACTCGACTTTTTGAAATTGAGGTGTGTCCTCTTGGGATTAAGTGGCAAATCAAGTAGACACTCTCACTTATATCTGTAAAACCTCCTGTTTTTTATTGGTTACTAGACTGACTGCTATCACTCCTCGCCCATAGCAACGATTTTCGTGGTTCTTGATGTCATCTCCTCATCTCGGCCTCAAGCGGTCTGTCGACGTTCACGGCGGAACCCTCAGTATTCGCTGTGTACTAGTTGTTTGGTCGTACCTCCCTTGCCCACTTCTCGGATGGGTTCGAAGCGGACCGTGACCGATCGCGTCTAGGTTCATCTCGTCTCGCAACTTTGACGCGAATGGTATCATCCGGCGTATCAGTTCTGCCTTGATGATGTCCGTTTTGAATGCCTTATACAATACTACATGTAGGTCAGTCCTGTCTGACCCGCATATTTACCCCCAAGGCTGACATTTATTTCTGCCCTGACGATGTCCGATTATAATCCGTTATACACCGGCACATGCAGGCCGCTCCTGCCTGCATTTTTGCCTTTACATGAGCGACAGTTTTTCCCCTTTAGTGTTAATCCAGTCATTTTTTAAATTCTAGAGTGGAGTATTTTCCACGGACTACTAATTCAGAAACTATGAATTGCATTTTGCCCGGATTCTACCTACTTCGTCTAGAATTCATATGAAAATTTATTTGTACTTGCATGGATTGGACCCCGATGGGTCTTTAATAAAATTATTTTTTCCATTTATTTCTCTGTACTCGCAATTCCGACAGTAGAGGAGAGAAATCTATGGGAAGGGGATTATTCCACCATGAAAGAACTATTGTCTGAGATAGAATGAAACCCTGCGCCCGTAACTGACCCAAACCACGCCTGTGTTTTCTTTGAGATCGTGGTTCCGTGCTTGGTGAAAAACTGTTGTCCGCTTTAAAAGGAGATCGTGCGTCTCCCGACCGGAGTGGGTGACATCGGAAATAAAAATGAAACTCATAAAGAAAAGGAGATTTTGGAAAAGGTACGCCACATGTCAACGGCCCGCACATTTCCCAGAATTTAAGAAAGAGCGAAATAGTTGTCAGCGTCTGCTGAGGAGAGAGGTAGCAACATTCGAGTCGAAAATAGTCAAAGAATTACCGAAAAGCCGGAAGAAGTTGTTCGCATACATGAGTAGGGCTAAACGAAATTTGGACTCCATTCTTTGTTTAATGAATCGTCAGGGAAATAAATTAACTGAAAACTCAGATAAGACGAATCTCGTATCTGACTTCTTCATGCCCGTGTTTACATGGGAGCCGTCTTTTGATGGAAAAGAACACTGCCAAATTGCCCCACCAAGAAATACAATTTACACGATGACGTCCAAAATGGATGCAGTATGGAAAACTCTGGAACAACTACAACCCATTACATCGCCTGATCCGGATGGCATATCCGCAAAAGTTTTTAATGAACTCTCAGACCAACTAGACTCCCCTCTTTAAGATCCTTGACAGTTCACTGGGGGCAGGGGCTCTGTGTAACGACTGGAAGCCAGCGCAATATATAGAGGGTAAGAGAGGACTTCGCGAAGTAACTTCGGATCAGCGAGTCTCACAAGCATTTGTTGAAGACTAGTGGAGACAATAATAAAAAGGTGCTGGTGAGATATATTGCGGAGAACGACTTGCTTATTGAGCATCAACATGGAATTAAAGGTAATGGATCCTGTCTCACTAACCTGCACACATAAGTGGAGGGCTGAACGAAATGCTGAGAGATTGGTTTGTCAGCAGATGTAGTCTACATTGACTTCAGAAAGGCCTTTGATAGGTTGCCACACAGATGGCTCATATCTAGACCGAGCTAAATGAGTGTGTCTAGTAACCTGGTTAAGCGGTTGACCGACTTCCTCACAGGCCGAGTTCAGCGTGCGTGCATTGGTGACCCCAAATCAAAGTGGGAAACTGTTCACATTGGGGTTATGCACGGGAGCGTCCTGAGTCACATCCTATTCTTAATATATGTGAACGATTGCCCAGACTGTCTGACCTAAGAAAAGATAATGTTCGCTGGTGATCTGAAGATGTGGGGTTCGATTGAAAAGTCAGAGGACGTGCTAAGCTTGCAAAGCAACTTAGATCGATTGCAGAAGTGGTGCGACGAATAGCTTCTTAACTTCAGCTTCAAAAAATGCCAAAACATCCGCCTAAGGCCTGATTACAAAAAAAGTTTGAGATGTAAATATCAGCATTTCCTCGGAGGTCACAGACTCGAGCTTTTAAACGAGCTAGATTATTTAGGTGTTCGCATGACGTTCACTCTCAAACACTCGTCTCACTGCGACAAAATAGCAAAGAAGGCTATGAGCATCCAGGGAGCGATCAGGAGAACTTTCATTAACTTTGAAGAATAACTTTTCGGTCGACTGTTTAGAGAATTTATCCAGCCGATTTTAGAGAATGGTATTCAGGCGTAGCGCCCCTGGAAGAAACAAGACTACACTGTCTTGGAGAAGGTTCAGCGAAGAGTGACAATAATAGTCGGTGGGTTGAAGAGACTGCCTTATGAGAAACAGCTAAAAAGGCTCAAACGTTTTCCTCGTTTTTAGAGGCTAAACAGTAGGGACATGATCATGACCTTCAAACACGTCATAGGAGATGACTGTGCACTTAACCTGACCGAATATTTGAACTAGCACAACGACCAATCTCCTAGGCTACCGATAAAAATTGAAGACAAAGTACGTCAGAGTTGAAGTACGGGCGAACTTCTTCACGCCAGCCAGTGGTGCTGCACATGGCGTCCTTCTCGTTCTTGGCATAAGTGCTCAGTCATGGGGGTTGGCGACGACCGCCAACCTCAACTAAGCTTTGAAGGTCACTTCATAAATGTGCCTGGGGTTATTAAGGATGTGAACGTATCATACTCCAAGAGTCTCAATCTCTCGGAGCACTATGCCTTGATAGTCTCCAAAGAACGTAGAACGACCGGGTTTATCCTCCGAAACTTTAAAACTAGGGACATAAGAATGTGCCTTTACGTTAGACCTGGCCTGTACTACTGTTCGTTTTGATTTAGCCTCATGCGTGCTACTGAGCGGAAGAAAATAGAATCCGTTCAACACTTTTTTTGCCAAGTGAGTCTTAACCCCGGAACACCGACATTTGTCTTACCAAGAGCGTTGCCGTCTTACGGACCTTGATCATTTATGGTTCCGTAGATTACAAAAGGGACTATTTTCGCTATTTAAACTCTTATATAATCACACATTTAACCCACTCACCTCCTTAAGACGTCATATCCACTCCGACGCCGTGAGGTCTTTTTATTTCTTCCTCTGGCACGTACTGTTAAATACCGTCGGTTCTTTTCTGTAAATGCAATTGCTATTTGGAATAAACTACCCAGGAATGTAAAAAATCTGCAAAATAATCATTTATTTAAGAGAACTATTACTCGATTTTTGCATTCAGAAGAGCACCCACGAATTTTGGGTGCTGAATCCACTGAACGACTGTATCGTAGCGATGGCGTTTGTGGTCTCTGACCACTATGGTCGGTTTCACCAGGGACAATTTCTTTGGCCAACAGCGACAGCTGTTCTCCTGCGCTTCTGTTTGGACTATCCCCAACTTCACGAAAG